TCTTCTCTTCTCTTCTCTTCTCTTCTCTTCTCTTCTCTTCTCTTCTCTTCTCTTCTCTTCTCTTCTCTTCTCTTCTCTTCTCTTCTCTTCTCCTCTCCTCTCCTCTCCTCTCCTCTCCTCTCCTCTCCTCTCCTCTTCTCTTTTCTCCAGAGCCATGTGGGGAATGTGTGGCACCAGTGTCACAACTCTCTACATAACCTCAGGCACAGGAATTAAGACCATGCCCCTAAAGTCTGTGGCTAAAGAAAATATTTTTTTTTTCTTGAATACCCTTTAAGTATTTTGTCACAAAGGGTATACGTAACATCCCTTTTCACTGCTTTCAGGGCCTTCTCTCCTCTGGTGTGGATGGCTACAAAGGTCTCTTCCACAGAAGAAAAACTGATGAAGTCAGTTTGTAGAGGGAAGGGAAGGGAGGAGAAGCTGGCTGTACACAAAGTGCTGTAACATCTGCAAAGTAAATACACATACAGTGACCTTAGATGCTATCTGTAAGCAGCATAGCACTAGCCTCTTGGACCCGAATGCTGCACCACTGAATCCACTGGGAATTTCTTCATGGAGTTCAGGAGGTGCAGAGCAGAAACAAAAACTTGACAACAGAGTTAATCTAAGAAAAGCAAAGTGCTGTCCTCAGGAAGATGCATGTCAGTCTTATGACAAGTGCAGGGGAAAAAAAAAAAAAGGAAGAAGAAATATCTATTAAAACATCTCAAATTCTTAAGCATGCCGTAAATGTCATCGGTGTGTTCAAAGTCCCTTGCAGAGAATCAGCAGGCTATCGTGATTTATGCCATGTCCCTCAGCATTTTATTCACCTCTGCTAATTAACTTTCAAATCACTGCACTGGTAAAAAGGAAAACCAAAGTACTTTCTTATTTCTCTCTCGTACTTTAAATCCCAGTTAGGCAGGTGGACAATGTAGTTCCAACATGGCTGTTGGATATATCCAGATATATTCTGCAGTGCTCAAAGAGTCCAAAACCCCCTTTTTTTAAGGTGTTGCTCGCTTCCTTCCCCTGTTCACTCAGATGTCACAGCAATAAATTAAGGTAAGCTTCAAAGAACCTTTTCCTCAAGGAAAGAGTGACCCCACCAAGTTTGGTCTGCAATCTGCGTAAATTGGCAAAGCTACACAGAACTAAACTGACTTAAGTTTTATGCCAGCTGGAGATGTGGCGCAGCAAGTTTGGCAATCCCGGGAAGAGCAGCGTGTTTACATGTGAGACGTCAAAGCTGTGACTATTGATTTTTTTTTTTTTTTTTTCCAGGGAGGCTAAAGCACTAATGTTGGCATGACAGGGCTCTTTTGGTCCTGTGTGTCTGCTTCCAAAAAAAGTCACCAAGAGGCATAAAACCCTTCCTTCAGGTTTACTGTGAATTTCCTAGCCAATCCCCCGATTCCCCACACTCCTATCAGCTTTGAAGCTACATTGCCCTTGAGAGCAGAGGGTGCTCAGTGTCTGCCCAGAGGTGGCTCCTTTCAGGGACACCCCTGGTTCCTTGCAGTACCTCGGAGCAGGTCCTTTCCTGGTTCGAAATGTCCTTCATCTGCAGCAGAAATGGCAGGGCTAATGATTTAATATCAGCTGAGATTTTACCAGTCCTACCCACTAGGTACTTTAGAAACACAGAGGGTGACACAGTCCCATCTAAAGACAAAGGAGGGGGAAAAGCACGTCCAAGAAATATGATCTGGGTGCTGAGAGACATGTGTCTTATTAGTTAAGGTGGATGTTTGTGTTTTGCTCCCTCTCTCTTTTCAGTTAAAATCACCTTTCACCTATCCTCTTCCTTTTCCCACAGCTCAACCCATAAATCTTTTTTCCCTTTTGCAAGAATTCCTTCCCTCTTCCTCCCGTTTAGCATTTGCTTGTCCTCACATACAAAAGAGCTGTTCCCTCCTGAAGGAAACAGATGAGCAAACGACGCAGCAGCTTCTTGCAAGCATCATGGAAGAGATGAATAATTGCAAAGTATTTCTGGGAGCTAGAAGAATATGCGGTTCTGAAAGCTTTCACCATTTCATACGTGGAAAACGCTGCAGGAGCCAGGGCAGAAGATGCCTTTAGTTGCCTCAGTTGCAAGACTGAGGTCACTGATGGAAAAGGGTGAGCCAGTGCTGGATCATGGTGAGACAAGTGGCAGGGGTGAGGCAATGTTGAAGGCAGTCCCAAGGAGTTAGCACTTACCGCGGTGGAAATGGGGAAGCCAAGAGAGACAACTGGATAGTGTGGGTCAGTTTGAGAGGCAAGGGGGATATTGGCTGAGGGACAGAGACACAGTTTCACTGCCCAGAACCAGTATTCAAAACAGTGTAACTAAATTTTCATGCCATCTTTCATAAAGAAAACACCAGTACTATTTAAAAAGGAATATTCCTACACCTTTCTGATATAAAGTTTTCTTAAAAAACAGCCCTGCCTTTAGAAGCTCTTTCCTTTTTATTGGGCACAGCACTGGGATCCTTGCTGCCCATGTAGCCATTGCCATTTCAGCTGACGGCAAATGTCCCACTGACTGAGAAGGGAGGAGAGACGGACATAAAGACTGCAATCGGCCATGCTCTCTCAGGGTCAGAAGCGCCTGCTTTCAAGGTGGAGTGCCATAACACATAGTTTGACTAGTAATGTTAAGTGTCTGTCATTAAGGGTAACATGCCAAGTCTATAATTAAATCATGATACTGTATAACAGAAGGTTACACTGCATGAGTAGAGACAGCTGTCAAGTCCTGTGCCTTTTATTAATATATATGGCATGCACAGCATATGCGTCTCTAACTACTTGCTGGCTCTACCTTCATAAATTATATTTGCCACTGTTTCTGATACTGGATAGCTTTAAAAAGCAAAACCCATCCACTTCTTTGCAAATATTTTTCAAGTGGAACTGCCGTAGGAAAGTTTCATGTGTGCTGATCTAGTCGACTTAAAAGAAAAGAATACTCCTTCAATATTCCCAAAAGGCAGCATGGCCTGGTGGAAAGGTAAAACACTCATCCTAATCTCAGCTCTGTCACTGAGGGACTAAGTGGCCTTTGGGCCAGTAATTTAGCTCTCAGTCTCTCTGCACAAGACAGATATGAAACCTGGCAGAGCTGAAGGGAGGACTAATTAATGAGAAAATGCTTGCTTAGTACCCTGGGGATGTAAAGTGACAAGCAAATATTACTTCAAGAAGGAGCTTTGCTTATTTGATGCTCGGAAAAGCAGACAACAGGAATGTGGCATGTCACTATCTAGCCATAAACATCACTTGGCAGTCTCATGAGATACACTCATGGGTAAAGGAACTGCCTGCAAACTTCTCTGCTTTATAAATCCTGTCGTAAGGTGGTACTGAGGTAGGAAGGAAGGTTGTTGCTCTGTGCTTACACATATACAGTGTCCTGTATCCTCTGCAGGGAGCAGGAGGAGGCACCCATGAAACCATCTCTACAGCCTTTTTAACAGTTTAACCTAGAATGATGTGCCCCCCAGCCCTCATCATGATGAGGCCATCCTCATTAAACTAAAAACTAGGTGTCGGCTCATGTTTTAAGGTTGCTGCTCCTCTAAATTTAATGTCAGGTTGTACACAAAGGGCCACTACTAAAGACACCTTTCCTTGCTTCATACTGGCCCATGGCACTTCATACATGCCCACTGGCACTGCTGAAGTGGGCAGTCTCCAGATTTCATACCCTTGACCTTTGTAAAGGTAATGTAAAGCCCTGCTCCCAGGGCTTGTGCAGACATCCAGATTTTCATGTCTTATTGCAGAGCAAGCTCCCCATGAAATTAATGGGATGCTTGTTGCTGACTTCAGTGGTAGCTGAGTCAACTTCTCAGAAGCTGAAACCTGGAGAGCCCTGAGCACTTCCTGGCTCTGCTCCACGAGAGCACTTCTGTGTGTTTAACTTTTGAGCTTGTGAATACTCCCTTTCAAGTCAGTGCCCCCACAGCATGTCCTGACTAAGCAAGGTCAAGATCCCCAGTCTCCTGGCTCACGTTGCTGGCCCTGTGCACCTGAAAACATTGTCTCCTCCATCCCCTCTGCTGACATGAATGCTCCAAGCACTTAAGCCAGTGTAATTACTAAATACATTTTGCATTACTCATGGACGGACGAGTAAAGATGATCATTTTTGATGCAAAAGAGACCTGCATATACACACTGGTTATGCCTTTGCTGAGCCAAAAGGTGAACCAAGCCCGGTCGAGACCTACCTTTAACAGAGGCTGAGTAGGTGGAAATAATGCAAAGGAACAGCACTGTAAGAAGAATCATGCTGGACTCCCCCGAGCGCCTGACTGCAGCATGAAGTGTGAGAGCCTCCAAGAAGTGAGCTGCCGAGAGTGGAGGGGCGCTTGCAGAGAGAGCTGCCGGCTTGACCACACTGTTTATCTAGATGTAGTAAAGGTCAGATTCCAAATTCCACACGCAGGTACTAAGTTCATCAAAGGACTTCCAGTTAATTATTAAGAACTAAGGTAACTGGTGGTTTCTACCCCATTTTATCGATCACCTCAGCTTTCGTTTTTGAATACTGAGCCCATACAGCTACATTTCTGAGTGGGGGAGCCCACCTCCAGTCCTGGCAGAACCAGGAGCTCCTGCCACTCCTCCTTTGTCTGAATGAAAGGGCGTTCGGGTGGGACCAGATCCTGGCCACTGTCTCCACTGTCTTGTATCATCTCTGTGTGCAACCCCAGAGGCAGATGCTTTTTAAGGGTCTTCCTGGAAGAAAAAGTACATGGGATTTATGAGTGCCATCCCAAAAAGTGATGCTACTTTGATGGAGACTCAGATGCAATGTCAGTTCCTGCTATATTGTGTTGTACCAAATAAATTCTCTTTCTTTCAGGAGCCCCAGCCCCTGTATTATATCATTGCAGTGGCAGAGGTTAGAGACTGAAAAGATGAGATAAACTTGCCATTCTGTCCCACCTTGGTGAAGAGTACCTGCTTGGCTAGGTCTGGGAGCAGAGCAAACCAAGCCCTCCTTTTCACCCCTATCTTCCCCTTCTCTCATGCTCACTTCACCACCTCCCCTGATAAGTCCCCAGCTAACTCACGCGCTTCCCTGTTTTCTCTGAGAGGAAATCCCAGGCCATCTTGCACTAAGTCTGATGGCCACAGGGCTCACTGAAGGACCTCTTGTCCCTCAGGTGACAGTGGGGTAGCAGGTCACCCCCGCCACGTTCATCGGCACCCCCCGGGTGTCACAGCCTGCAAGGGGACACCCTCTTCCCTGGCATACGAAGCCTCCCTGGCTCTGTGGGGACAGAGGATCTGGTCCTGCTTGTAGAGGAGACAC